TGCCCTTCTCTGGACCTGCTCCAGCCCCTCAGGGTCTCTCTGATCCTGTGGTGCCCAAATCTGACCCCAGTGCTCAAGCTGTGGCCCCTTCAGTGCCGAGTCCAGGGCAGTATCACAGTGCAACACCTGAACTCCTGCAGCCACTGATATCTCCAACACTGAGCAGAGGCCTCTTGCTACCACTTGCACCCACCCAGCACCAGTGGGGTTGGTTCTCGACCCTTCACGCTACGCTTCCTGCACAGACATTAAGAGCTGCCTGGCTTTACAGCGTCCCTTAAAATTAATTTGCATGCTTAAATAACATCCTGTGAGCACAATAGCACCACAGGGACTGCTGCCATCAAGGTTTTAAATGTGCACCGAGTGTGGAAGATGAACAAGTTGAAACCTCTGGATTTGAAAAGCCTATTTAAACATTAATTATTCACAGAACTGTGTTAGAAGTCCAAGAGCCCTTCAAAATGTTCCTATTTCACCCCTCCCCATAAGACTATCTGAACAAATAAATGTAACACAAAAGAAATCATTTCAGGGAAGGTGCTTATCTCAGTATCTACAAACACTCCATTAGCTCTGCTTGAAGATCAGGGAAAAATTCTCAGCATCCACAGAACATCCTTTATTGTATTCATCACAGTACTGGGAAGGGGAGCTGCAAGATCCTTTCTGCTGCTCAGCAGCCTTTTAATTCCTTTCTACTGTCACCCCTTTGTTTTCTCTCCAGGTAGGAACAAAAAGCCAGCTGTGTATTGGTGATTCTGGGGCAAGCGCCAGAGACTCGCACGCAGAAAATCCCCCAGAGCAGCACCTCAACCCACAGCCAGGGAGAAAAGGGAAGTTCCTGCTTTGTCCTCTCACACACAGCGACAGATCCCTCACACAGGACACAGAATCCAGGACACAGAGCTGGGGATCTGGGGGGGGGGGAATTATGGCCACACCTAAAGCACTCCCACCTAAACGGGGCTGAAGGAGAGGAGAGGCGCGGCGAGATCCCTTCAGCCGAAATCCAGCCGCTGGTGGGAACAGGCATCAGCTGACTGCTCCCAACGAGGCTGCCATGGCAACGCCATCCCCGAGGATGCTGCCGGGGTGTGTGGGGAATGCTGACAGCCAGAGCACAGCCAGCAGCAGCCCCGTGTCAGCCGGGGTCACCTTCACGCCGCGGAGGGCCGAGCCCTCTTCCCCGTGAGCACCCACCCCCTGGCAGGACACACTCGTGCACCAGCACCCACCACAACGGGAGGAATCGTTGTGTCTGCTTCTCAGAAACCTGCAGATCTGTTCAAACAATTCCCTGAAAGGGCAGGAATCTCCATATCGCTAACTGGCTGCTCGCAGCCCCTCCCTGGACACTGGGAAGGGGTTTCCACACAAGAAGGGGCCGGGTGTGCAGAAAACAGAGAGAGGTGGAAGGCAGCTCAGGAGGAGAAAGGCAGCACGGCCTCTGGCCACCCAGCAACCAGGATCAAGCCTAACCACAAAAGGCAAACCCAGCTGCCTTACAGCATTAACCACTGGCAGGGGTTCCACTTACAAAACCCTGGCAAAAGAAATACAAATATTCTGTGGGCTATAAGTGACCCAAATACATTTCCAAACCCTCCCCTGCAGCACAGAGGGGTCAGCAGGGGATCCGTGGGGTCAGTGAGCCCTGCACTGCCCTGCCAGCCTGGGGAGCACGGGCACATCTGCTGCTCTTCCCCAGGACCACAGGGCAGGAGGAGCAGGTAAAGGAGAGGCCATGGCCAACAGAGGAGCAGGCAGAGAATCATGGAATGGTTTGGGTGGGAAGGGACCTTTCAAGGTCACCTAGTCCAACCCCCTGCAGGGACAGGGACACCCCCAGCTAGAGCAGGGTGCTCAGAGCCCCAGCCAACCTCCCCTGGGATGGTTCCAGGGATGGGGCAGTGACCACCTCTCTGGGCAGCCTGGGCCAGGGGCTCACCACCCTCAGAGTAAAAAAAATCATCCTTTTCTCTAGTGTAAATCTCTCTCTGTTAGTTTAAACCCATCCTCCCTTGTCCTGTTCTAACAGGCCCTGCTGAAGTCTGTCCCCACCTTTGTGACAGGCCCCTTAAAGTCCTGAAAGGCCCCCAGAAGGTCTCCCCAGAGCCTTCTCCTCTCCACGTTGAACAATCCAACTCTCTCAGCCTTTCTCCACAGAAGTGCTCCAGCCCTCTGATTATCTTTGTGGTCCTGAATTTATCACCACAGCATTTACCCAAGGCAGCTTTCACCAAATTTCCACTCAGGAATGTTGCTCTGACTCCTGCATGAGTCAGTGCAGGGTCTTTTGGACCTACCCCTTCTGTGCGAAGCACTCCCTGACCCTTCACAGCTGCTCAGGTCAAGGAAACTGTTTGGTCAAGAAGCTTTGCAGTAGGTTGCTAAAGGGAATAATGGAAGATCTACAAATAAAGCTGCTGTATAGAAATTTCAGTATTCTAAGGGCAAGAGACCTACGTGCACAGACCATTAACTGCTTTGGTGCCAGAGGAAATGCAAAGCAGATGGTCAGCATGCAGCCTGCACTGCAGCACTCCTGTGGATGGACACTATTTTAGATACACATTTTGTGAAAAAACAAACAAACAAACAAAAACCAGTAATTGTGAATGTTTCTAGGTAACAGACATTCTATAAGTAACTGAAAATTGTATCTGCCTTGCTCGCCTCCTTTGATTTTTAAGACTCTAAGGACTTAAAAAATCATTTAATTGTTTGGGTTGGAAGAGACCTTAAAGATCACCCAGTTCCAACCCCCTGCCATGGGCAGGGACACCTCCCACTAGAGCAGCTTGCTCACAGCCCCATCCAACCTGGTCTTGAACACCTCCAGGGATGGAGCATCCACAGCTTCCCTAGGCCAGGGTCTCACCACCCTCAGAGTGAAGAACTTCTTCCTTATACCTAATCCCCTCTTCCAGTTGGAAGCCATTACCCCTTATCATATAGCAACAAGCCCTTGTCAAAGGTCCCTCCCCAGCTTTCTTGTAGGCTCTGAAGTTCAGGCTACCACCATGGTGATCTGGTCTCATAAATGTACCAGCTCCACCTTTAAACCACCAGAAGCAGTGGTAAAGCAGCTGGTTTTCTAAAGCTGTGATAAATACAGGTTTATCCATAATTACTAATACAGTCAGTGAATTGCAGTGGTGTACAAGGTAGGTGTGGGGATGACTAACAGTGAGAAATTGTGATGGACAAAATTCCACCTTGTCCACCTGAGTTCACTTTGGCACTTCACCAAAACCCATCTAGGCAAAGCAGAGTCTTTGTGTCTTTGAAGAAGCTGCTTTGCCCAGGGAAGAGCCAGTCATCGAGCACAGTAACCTGCTGACAATTCCACTTTGCACAATTAAGAGGTAATGTCAGCAGGGGAGAACATCAGCCAAGGGAAATGACCTGCAGCTGCTCACTCCCTGGCAGCAGTGGCTCTTCAAAACATGAGACACTGCCGTGGAGACTCCCCTCTGCCACTGCAGTGCTCTTGGGAGGGTACAAGCACGTTGCTCCACCGTGGTGGGTGGTCAGTGTGGAGGACCAGCAAGGAGGTGAGAAGAGCACCTCTAAAACCACATTAGGGATGGACTCTGAGCCAGTCACTCACTCCACAGCTGCAGACGAGACGTTGCTGTTGCCCCAGCCCCAGCTCTGCTCTTTCAGCAACACGAGGGTGCCAGGTTTATCATTTCTCCAAATGCAAACATCCAAACAAATCTGGGTACGACATTTCCAAGCGACCCAGCCAGGTTCTGCAGGTTTCAGATAAGCACAGCAGCGTTACCTCGGGGTGAGGAGAACAAACAAGCCATTGAATCCCTCCTCCAGGATGCTGCAGAGCCAAGATGAGGCTTTTCCCCATCCCCCTTCCCACCAGTGCTGATCTGCTGCATTCTCACCAGCAGCTAAACTCTGCTCCCCCGAAGGCCAGAGACCTCACTATAATTCCAAATTTAGCTTTGATAAGATTTACATTAAACATGAACAAATATATACACCTAAAAAAAAATGTCAGATGTGACAGGAAGGATCAAACCAAGCCCCAGAGCAGAAGCTGCAGTGACATTAACCCCTTTCTGGGGTGAGGACCTTGCAGCGCACGGCAACTAAAACCCAGGCCAGGAGTGTGGTGAGCAGTTTGGGGGCTGGCTTTTATCTTATGCACTGAAATGAAAAGCCAGCACGATGCATCAGGTTGTAGATAATTGCACTGTAACTGTTTCAAAGATGCTAAATGTGTGAAAACTTGCAGACCAAGGTCTTTTTGCATTTTCTGGGTATGAAAATGGAGCTGAGAGACCTCCCAGGAGTGAGAGAGCCCGAGGGGAGACTCACCAGGCCTCGTACTTACATTATAGAGGGGAATGGTCCTCATCACTTTGTACTGCTTCATAGGGTCCATCTTATAGAGGTGTCGATCAGTAATGAAGATTGCTCTGTCCTCCACCCTGTTGAAGCGATTGACCTGCAAAGAAGGAAACTCTCAGTGCCAGTGGTCACTGCAGGAGCATGCACAGCACAGCTCTGCTGCAGGAAACATGCTGAGCTCACACAGCTCTTCAACAGGTTCCCTCTCCAGATCTTGAAGCAGTGAAGAGGGAAGATGGGCCCTGGAATCCCATTTTACAAACAGAGGAACACAGAGTCTTGGAGGAGCAACGTTCCCAGAGTTACCCAGCAGGGCAGGATGGACTGAGGTCTTGCTGAAGCTGTGCCACTCCACAAGAAGGAGACCAAATGGGGCAGGAGGAGCCTGGGTGAGTGTCCCAGTTAGAAGGCAGAATTGTGCTTCCCCTCCCTTATGATATGGGGTAAGAATAGTGATAGATAAAAATTAATTATTAGTTATACATATTAAGAATTTTAGAAGGTAGAGCACAGAACCATATAGCTCAAGAGGAAAAGAAACAGCTAACAGATGGAAAGACTTGTTTTCTTTTACTAACAAAGACTTATTCACAAGCCAGAAGGGCATTCCAACCTCATCTAAAGAAAGCAACCATAAAGAACAAGAATTAGAAAAACAGACTGAATAACTAACAGGATGAGCCTTGACATACTAACAGAACATCCTGATTCACTACCTGAGGCAGTCAGAATAAATGAATGAAGGCTAACATACACAGAAACATCCACCCTTATCTAGGAGAACGAACAAGAGCTGATGGACTAAAACCAACATACATCACAAACTTATCAGTAAAGAATGAGGAGTAAGGAAGAGCAGATGTTTACCAAGGAGAAGAACTGACCACAACTGACTCAATTCGAACCATGGAAATGATTGCTCAGAAGAGACTGCCTTTTTTTGGGGTTGGGTAATGAATATTCATAGGCATCATTTGAATATGCAGTGTTTCATTGGATCAATATGAGATAGTCTGTCACTTGGGGTGTGCATGCTTGTGGTGGAGCCATCCCCCGTGCACCTGTGTGTAACAAACACAACCCTGTGGAACCCCTGGGGTACAGAGTCTGTTTCTGTACATCACTTATCCCTTAGCTTCCCCAGGCAGAGAGGCAGATAAATGCAGGCAGGGGTAATAAAAGCCTTGCACCGACTGAAAGTTAACAAAATGAAATATATTATTTAACAGGGAACAGCAAG